TATTTGTGAGTATTAACCTGTGTCACAGCCCTTAAAACCTTTCACATCACCTGTTTCAACCTTGAATACTTTACTTCCCTACAGAAACCTATGGGCCACCAATAAGACTATGAAAATGTCAGGTATGTATTTTACGTGTGCATTCATAACTACATCCAGTTAATGCCCCTTAAGGCCACTGACAACCACTCGTGGTACTCCGAATACTGGCAAACAGTTTACTTTATGACAAGAGTTTGTAGTGGAGGCAGTTAAAGTTAATACAAAAAATTATACACATTATATTGCATTAAGAGAAGAAGAGAAAGATAACAAATATTTAAGCCAAACTGCTTCAACATTTGTGTAAGATATTTCCAAGGAATTACATAGTTATTAAATTTAACTAAAACCCATTAAAAAAGAACGACAATTGGTAACATGATAGCTTTTTACTTACAGTAATGCATTTTCATATGTAGGTGGGATTTTTCATAAAATACAAAGAAATATATCCACCAACAATTTATAGTATTCAATATGACAAATATATAGTGTGACTTGACTAACAGTGAATCCTATTCTCATATTTTAAAGCATTTAGACCTACTTTACAATACATGGACTTCAATACCCATTGAAGGTGGCACTACGATATGTCATGGAGTCATAGAAGCCATGAAAACCTGAAGCTGAGGCATATGATTGTCTGTTAGCTAGTGTTTCAAGCAGAGCTGAACATTTACTGCATAGTCAGGGATAAAGTCTATAGCTATTTGTGTTGAAGCAGGTAGTGCAATGGTGGGTGTTGTACTGGCAGATGTTGTGGAGACAGTAGGTTAAGAGGAAGGGTGTGCTCAGGCAGCTGGTGTAGAGGAACCTGGCACAGGTGGTAAACAGCATGACGTTCCTGATATGGTTGCACATACACACCTCTGTCTATTGGCATTCTTGCACTCCCTGTGATTATCTGGATTTTCATGAGAGCCCTTAGAGATACCTATGGCAAATGCATACGTCAGGGCATTATTTTTTCAAGTGGAGTCCTACCTCATATATATTTTAGGTGTCTCTAAGTCAATTCATGAATGTAAGTGTACACATGAAATAAGGTTGGTACTAAATCCATTGTCCTGTGTGAGCTCCACATTGTAAATGTTATGCCTTTCCTCCCACTGTATTTGATGTTGGCTCACTTTCTCTGTTCTCCTCTGTTTCACCAGTCTAAGCATAATGTCCAGCTCTTCTGGATAATTTCTCCTTAGCCCCCCTTTAGTCTTGATTGGTCAGGCTGGTCCTCCTCAGTTTTACTCTGTTTAAAATTGGCATTTGGTTCCCCTGATACTGTTATAATTTGAGTGGATTATGAGTGACCATTCCTTCACTGCTCCTCTTTTAGTGTCTCACTCATATCTTTTGAAGTGCACAACGAGATATTATCATTTATAGAACAGTAAATCACACGAGGCTACAAAATCAAGAAAGGAATTGGAATTTCATTATGAAGAATGGTCAGAAACATTATAATTAGAAAAAGGCCCCGTTGAGCAACTATGATAACATTATTCAAATATACACTGTCATTACAAACAAGTATCTGGTGGTGTTAGGTAACAGAACTATTCAAAGTGCACAAGGGAGTAGAGAAAGTAAAAAGAACAATTACCACTCCTTATAACTTGATAAATATTGAATGAATTATTGGATTTTTTTTGAAGGTTCAAAGAAAGGTTTGTTAAACATAGCATGGTAATGAGCCCATTGGAAACCATAAATATGCTTTTTCTTTGCCCAATCACACTTGCTAGTGGTAAAATTAATTGAAATACTTTCTATCATGTTTTACATGCATTGCTTCATTTCTGGCAACTATTATAGTGAAGACGTGGTTTTTAATCCAAATTATTTTATTGTTGGCAATGTAAGATGCCTGATGTTTTTAATTCCATAAATGTAGTGTTTTTTATTTTATTTTGGTCAAGAAAGCTTTTTAATAAAAAAAAAAAATGGTATAATCAATACATAATATAGGGTATATTGAAAATTCAAGAATAAGCATGTAACTGATTATTAAGCACTAATTTGTCTTTCTAAACCCTATTTTATCATTATTATAAATAAACCTTTAGGTAAATTAGCATTCTCCTTTGAGCTATATTCAGTCAACAGTACAAATGTGCTCATGCATCCTTAGCATCATTCTACAAGGAAGAATGGTTATCATTTAACATAATTTCTCAAAGGACAGTATCACAAAACTTAGGAAGGAAAATGAAAGCTGTGATGCACGTTGTCACATATTTTAGGTGGCACGCATTTCAGTCAAACAATAGGGAAGACTTATCAAAGTATTCTGTTCTAAATTATGGTGCAAACAGGTAAAAGGGGAGGAGTCAGAGATGGAATGGACCTGCTGGGTCCATCAGTTTCCATGGTGATTGTCCATTTTATTTTTAGAACTTTAGAAAACTTTTAGGACATAAAACTGTAACAAATCTCCCATGATATGATTAATCTGTTTAAAGAAATTTTTTATAAAGAGCAATTGGGACTTTTGGTAAATAACATGCACATACATTTAGATGTATTCTGAACAGTGTTAATTTTGGTAGAGTTAATTTTTCATTTTAGCTTTAGTCATAGTCATTTAACTAAAAAGCCATTTTAGCTTTAGTTATATTTTAGTGATCTGAATTGATTTTGTTTGAGTCTAGTTTTAGTCGACTAAATCTATAGTAGATTTTAGTTGACACAACTAAAATCTAATGGGTTTAGTTATAGCCTCTATCTGTCTCTTTTGCCCCTTCCCAAGCCCCTCTGTGTCTCTTTGTGTCCTCCCAGCCCCTCTAGCTGTCTCTCTCTCAAGCCCTGGTCTGTCTTACAAAGACACAAAGGCAGTGTTAATTTTGGCGGCAAATTTCCAATTAGTTTTAGTCCTAGTCTTTTGACTAAAAAGCCATTTTAGTTTTAGTATTATTTTAGTCATCTGAATTATTTTAGTTTTCATCTAGTTTTAGTAGACTAAATCTCAAAAAAGTTTAGTCGACTAAAATTTTACTAAAACTGTTAGTTGACAAAATTAACACTGATTCTGAATAGGGACATTACACATAGTTATATCTTTAATATCTACTAAGACACATAACTAACTGTAACACACAAAGAACAAATGATTTATGAAACAAGCTCTTACTTTTACACATTAATTTTTTTTTAACTATTACACATATATAAACATGTAATAAATTTAAAAGGAATTGTTAAAACATGAGTTGTTAAAGTAACCCTTAGCATTTCTTTCTCCATACAGGTACCTGGCTAATGTGAACTCTTGGGGATTCATCAGATTGTTCTGTGGAATCCTAGTGGGTTGGTCTTATCTTTGTAGTGTTTATTTGACTTGATTTTGTTTTAGTCTAGTTTTAGTCGATTTAAAAAATCTAATGGGTTTAGTTAAAGCCTCTATCTGTCTCCCTCTCTGTGTCTCTTTGTGTCCTCCCAGCCACTCTAGGTGTCTCTCTCTCTCAAGCCCTGGTCTGTCTCTTTTGCACCTTCCACCATTGCACAAAGGCAGTGTTTATTTTGGCAGCAACTTTCAATTTAGTTTTAGTCATAGCATTTTGACTTAAAAGCCATTTTAGTTTTAGTCGCATTTTAGTCATCTGAATTGTTTTAGTTTTAGTCGACTAAATCTCAAAATATTAAGTCAACTAAAATCTTACTAAAATTGTTAGTCAACAAAATTAACACTGATTCTGAATAGGGACATTACACATAGATATATCTTTAATATCTACTAAGACACATAACTAACTGTAACACACAAAGAACAAATGATTTATGAAACAAACTCTTACTTTTACTCATTAACATTTTTTAACTATTACACATATTTGAACATGTAATAAATTTAAAAGGAATTGTTTAAACATGAGTTGTTAAAGTAACCCTTTGCATTTCTTTCTCCATACAGGTACCTGGTTCATGTGAACTCTTGGGGATTCATCAGAGTGTTCCGTTAAAAATCCTAGTGGGCTGGTCTTATCTTTGTAATGTTTATGTAACTTCAAATTAAGCTTACTTACATAGATGACAAAGTCCAAAAACTGACTAGTAATGTATCATTAATGACAAAGGCACTTAATCAATTTTCATTTTATAGAAATTACAAAGCTGACAAGGTGCCTCTTATTTATTTTGATTTTGTTTTGAGAACAACAGATAACATACGTTTGTTAAACTCAATCATGGAGTATCATTAATTAATAAATATATAGAAGCATTTCTATATATGCCATCATTTTGTTAACTGTAAATAAAAGTATTCAGTTGGGCAGGGTGGATGCAGCATACCAAATATTGTTTTCGTCATCAACGTAAGCATACTCGAGTTTGTTCTAATTAATCACCTGTCAGATGCAAAGTGATTGTAACTAGATAAGTCATATAGTTTCAATTATAAAGATAATTGCACCCTTTTACTTCCCGTTATTTTAAAGTGGAGCATAGCTGGGACACATTCATTAAACATGCACACTTAAAGGTCAGCTTTGTTGTTGACGAACAACCTCTAATATACTGAACACATCAGAAAACCGTAAAAATAAATAAATGAGGATGATATTTTATTGAAAAAATATGCATACAAAAATAGAAATAAAGAATACATCAACACATATTTCTCTAAAAACATTGAGATCTGTCAAAATGACCTAGATATTTAGTTCAGCAATAAAAATGGCAGACGAAATTAATTGAGGGCCAACTACGAAGGAGTCCGAGACATCTAGCCAGAATTAAGTTAACAATAATCAATATTAGGAATGATTGTTCAAGCTAAGCTGAGAAGTTGGGCTATAATGATTGGAGTAAATGGGTCATTTTGTCATCCAGCTATTTTGCTAACTACTTTGATGGTCTCTTTTATCCAGGATTGTTTTGTTTGTTCACAAAAAGAATTGGTTTGAGTTTTCCATATAAATAGAGAAAAAATATAGACGTGTTCTTATTCAACTTGACATGTCGTTACAACATTGACGTTTAAAAGATGTTACCCAACCCTTTGCTATACTTGTATGTCTTCATAATCCATATGTGATTATGGTTTCTTTATAGATTGGTTTGACTCTTGAAGTTTAGCTTTTTATGTAATTTGGACCAAGATACTACACAGCAGAATAGCGAATGCTAAACTGACTTGACTCAGGTTTTGCCCACATGTTTTGAAAAAAGCTAAATCTCTTTTTGGTTTTCTACCTTACTGGGTGACTCACCCCATTACTATAAAGGAAAACAGTTGGAGAACATCTGAACATACATAACCCTCAATAAAATTTTATATGCAAAAGTACCACTTGAATAAATATTCTAATATCCTTTCATCAAACATGGCATCTAAAAATATTTGTTTATCACAAGCACACTTTAATATTTTTTATGTTTAGCAGGTGCTTTTAGTTTACATCAGATTGTTGTATGTTTCTTAATATAAAATTATCAGAGAACCACGTATGTTACTTGTCCTTTTCCCTTATTAGAATGTAGAATTAGAGTTTCAACAGTGATATATAGACTAGACATCAAGCTTCTCTGATTTCATGTTCCCTCAGCATGGAAGCTTTGCGGTCATGTTCTTTTACCAGTAGACACATCTGTGTAACAGAGCTCAAATCACCATTGTGATGTTATAAAACAAATAGTCTTTAAAGAGTTTCAAAACACAGCTTCTCAAGCTATGTAGAACACAACAGAGACATAAAAAAGCTAAATATATATTTTTTTAACGTTGTTCTCCCACAATCCAAGTTCTTCATTTTAATGTGCACTCTTTCAGAATACGCAATATATTCAACATACCTAGACTAACCAAATACGCCCAATAAATTTTTATATGCATATTATTAAAGTTTTAAACCTTTTATTTCAACATTGGCCAACTGCCTTTATAAACCCGACCAAGTTCGACTGACATGAATACATATATAAACGGTAACATTTGATAGACTTTTTTTTTTTTCCAATGGTCATTCCAACTTATACTTAAAATATTTTTATTTATGGAGATCAAAACCATGCTACGTTTACACTGCTCAATTAGCTAACATTTATGGTTAAAAAAATAAAGTAATAAAAAAATAAAATTAAAGAGATAAAGATATAAAATAAGGGGACATGTCTAAGAATTAATTTTTAAGTAATTTTGCTAATTGTCAGCTGAAGCATTGATCTCACGTGCACTTGTCATTAAATAGTGTGAGCATTTTATTCTGAAATGCCTCTGTTTACAAATGAGACTGAAGAGCAAGGTTCTCATGGAAGATCAGCATATATATCGGGCTTTATTTCAGCTGCACATGATTAAAAGAACATTACCTGTGTCGTGAGAGTCACTGAATGAGCTATGCTAAATTGGTTGTTTTCTGTTATGTGATTAATTGTACATCTAAACCATATTTTAGTGTGCTTTGTTTTTCTGTCCCCAGTCATCTCATATTATTAAAGAGAAATTCTGCATATCTCTCCTGGAGTCCAATTAAGGATTTGCATCATGACTAGATTTTTCACTTTAATTACTGTATATAAAGTAGGTTTTGACTTATTTCCTTATTTATCAAACTATGCCGAAGAAGCAAAATTCATCAAATAAACAGATATCTGCAGCTATAATTGCAGCCAGCATTGTACATGTAGGAACAAAATATGAGGGGCCAAATTTCATTATGTAGAACGTAATAAGCATCTGAATAATTAAACTGTGTGTAAATCACTAGCGTGGCAGTGGTAAGAATAGAAAACATACCTATGTTTGATCCCAAAAATCAGTTTGACTATACATTTTATTCTAAATGTTACTTTATCAGCAGAAAGTAGAAAAACTTGCTATATATAGGGTGGGTGGGTAAGTTTCTCTACATAGAACATCTCTATATATGTCAACAAACCTAAATCACTCTTTTGCCATGGAAAAATACTGAATCCAGGATTTTCTATATTATATAACCACTTTATTATATCCGGACCACAAGCATGGTAGAATACATACATTGTATAAAATGAGAGACTACCGACAATGTATTTTTTCATTAAAGCTTAAATTTGTTGATTTTTTTTATTCTTTTAATATGCAGAGCATCCACTTTGCCTCGGGAGTCTTGTTACACTTTGGATGATGTATATATTTTGGTAAAATAAACAATAAGTGCCCACGCATTATACCACCTATGCATATTTTCTAGTGTGGATTTGATGAGCCATCTAAAAATAAAAAGATGAATAATTTAACAACAAAATCATATCTTCAGCAGTCTGCTGCTGCTTAGTGCCAGCTGATATGTGTATTGTATTAACACAGTGTATTAAATAACATACTTTGTTCTAAATATCTCGAGACTTCTTTAAAAATTAAATTATATACTGCAACCAGTCTATTTAGTTTCATAAGCAGATTTTTTTTTATACTAATTAAAATAAGTCAGTGCATAGTTTTTTTTTTTTTCAAGAAACCAGAAAGAGATATTATCCTACGCCCTGCTGTGATTTACAAGAATTCGTTGTGTTAAATCTTCTGGCCCACCCTGCTGTGCCCACAACTGGTTTCATTTAGAATACATGTAAATATTTTTTTAATAATCTAAGTCGAAGAATGTATCTATTGAATAGTTTTAACAGCCTGTGGGATGCGGGGGTAAATGCAAAGAGCAATTTTGCCCAAGAAATGCTTTTGCGTCTCTTGGGTTAATTTATTTTGACTAAAACAATGCAGGCCAATGGTTATATTACCTGTGAAAAATTACGCTGGCTTCTATCTCCTAATGTTGTAAGCTATGATAGGAATTTAGACTTTAAACTAGTGATTATTTTATCTTGGGAAATTAAAAATACTCAAAAAATTAATTAAAACATAGAGTAATAGGGGAATTAATAAGTACTTGTAGACTAGTTAAGCACTTTAAATGGCAATCTTGTTAAGGTGAATTAACAATAAACTTGCAGAATTTACATTTTGAAACTGACATCAAGCTTGTTAAAGACATTTTTGACTAGTCAGCTCAAGTGAATTTAAGACCAACTTATAAAATTAAGGCTAACTCGTCAAGTTGGTTATATCATCTAATTACATTATTATTTAGTGGTGAAGGACGGAAAATATTTTTTATTCTATTTAGAATTTTTAATTTCAGGGACTATTTTCTTTCACTCCCGGATATTTTCATATTTTTTTATCCCCCTTTTTTCTTTTCTATATTTTTCCTTCGTTTTTTTTTCTTCCATTAAGTCAATGCATAAAATATTTTCCTGGGACTGGAGTTTACACAGCCTACCACTCCTACAGAATCTCAATTATCTCCTGCAAAAATAATGTTCCTCCCATTGATTGATAAGAGAGTTTAACACCCAGACTGTCTGGATCATAATAACTTTATACAAGGGACTCACTTGTAACAGGAATGCAGACCACAGTTACATAATCATAAATTCCTGTACAGCTTCTTTAACCACAACTTGGATTCCTTGGCCAAAGGTGGTGCAATACGTAGAGCTAAGCACATTCCATTCCATTAATATGCCTTGATCCTATGGTCTGGTATCTATTTCTGAGAGGGACTACAATAGATGAACACTAGCTAACGTTTATTTTCCTGACAAAAAAAATGCCATTAGATTGATATTTCAATTACTAGATTCCTGTAGAAATTTTTTTTTTTACACTAGCAGGGACTTTAATATTTCACTATAAACATTGCACAACAGTACTTCATGTAGGGGGATTTATATTTTTCCCCAAATTTTATACTTACAACAGACTGACTACTGGAGAGGTACTCTTCTTAGTTTTATATTTTTTTTTCCGCTGTATGTAATCTTGATTGTAAATCTTGATTTAATATATCTGAATAAGCTTTTCAAATGATTTAATATTTTTGGATAAACTTTTAAAGTGACTTAATATTTAAAAAAGATTTAATTTTTTTATATATTTTTACATATTTTTTATATGTGATATATTTTTAATATTTTGAAAAAAACAAAACCACTTTATAAAAGTTTATCCACAAATTTTAAATCACTCAAAAAGCTTATAACAATATTAAATCAAGGCTATAATCTAGCGTTTAATATATTTTTATTCAGAACGATGAACAGATGGCTCACCGCATGACATGGTCAGACCACAGCCAAGTCAGTATGATGTCCTTGCTCTGATAATTTCTTTTTGGACTAACATTTAGTCCAAGACACTTAGGTGATACCTAAAATATATTTTTGTAAACATACTAACATACTTTGGCTAGCGTTCTCCTCATAGTTTTGGAAGCCCATGAGGAAGTCATAAGGGGCCACTTATTAACAGAGGCATTTGCAAACAACAATCTCAAAAATAACTAATACACATGATCTCTGGATCCCAAAGGGAGAAACATACATGAATCATCAGATGGAAAACAAAAGTCTGCTTTTTTCCTCCAGAAAAACAAACAAACAAACAAACAAGCAAAATAAATCTTGCCAGTACAAACCTTTATCTGGAAATCTATTCATAAACAGGGCTATACATAGGACACGAGGTCACACATTTAGGCTGGAAGAAAGGAGATTTCATCTAAGGCAAAGAAAAGGTTTTTTTACAGTAAGAACAATAAGGATATGGAATTCTCTGCCTGAAGAGGTGGTTTTGTCAGAGTCCATACAGATGTTTAAACTGAAATTGAATAAATACTTACAAAAACATAACATACAGGGATATAATTTCTAATGAGTGGGGTAATAGCTGCTTGATACAAGGAGACATCTGACTGCTATTTTGGGGTCAAGAAGGAATTTTTTCCTAGTTTGTGGCAAAATTGAAAGCGCTTCAGACCAGGTTTTTTGCCTTCTTTTGGATCAACAGCAACAACATTTGTGAGGAAGGCTGAACTTGATGGACGCAAGTCTCTTTTCAGCTATGTTACTATGTAACTATGTAACTATGTAACTATGTAATGTGGGGAAGGAAGAGGGGGAGGCAGAAGAGCACAAAAAAAGCTATATGTATCATATGCATTAAGGTCAAGGCACACAATGTGTAAAGGGAATAATGAACAATGTTTTCCACACATATTTGGTGGCCTTGTGAAGATGAAAATCTAGAAAATATTATCCCTTTCACAAGTAACCTCATGAGGAACTTGCAGAATCGATGTTATCTAAATTCATCATGACAAATATGAAAAAAAATTTTTTAGTAGTGTCTCCGCCTCTTGAAATTCAGATGATATCAATCTGGATTTCTAAGTCTTTTAAAATAAAAAAAATGAATTTCTCTGAGGGTCAAAATAACAACTAAATACCTAATGGAATTACCTGTCCTATGGTCCCCTCATAGCACTTGCCCATATTGTGTGTATGAGTAGTTAATAATAATAAAGGGTTACCCACAATTACTGAAATGAATAAATATATATACATATATTGTTTTTGTTTCCTCATAGAAATATGTGTAAAATTATATTACATGGAAAAAATGTAAAGTTTCAACAAACTATCCTGACAGATGGTTAAGTGACACAGAATACTGAAGAGGCTAAATATAATTTCAAAAAAAGAATACTGAAGAGGGTAATTATTAAATATACTTGTCCAATTTGTAGAAGTAGTTTCTTGAATATAGGAACTCAGTGTAGCAATTATCTTATTTCAGATATTGAAGTGAGATATTAAATGCCACTAAATAAAATTCTTACCCACTCAAAGTCACAAAATGAAAGAAAAGCAGCATCAACAAATGTTATTCAGAATATTTTAATAGTGTAGATGAGATCAAAAATCAAAATGCATTGACAAATGCCAAAAATAGTTAATACCAACTGAAAGTAAAAATCTACAAAACTGATTTGATTTTCACTGTGATGAGGATACAGATTATGGATAACGGATATCTGAGAAATTTAGCTGTGAGAAGACTATAGGATGGCGAGTACAGCATTACCAATACTACCTGTTGCAATAACAGATTTTATTTTAGACAAATTAATCCTTCATCCAATCAAAATTGATCAAATAATTATCATTCATTGAACATTAAGACGATCATTACCTCTGGATATTATTGATGAAGATACAGTATGGTGCATGGGTGTACTACTGACATTGTAATATCTAGAAGGAACTGTACTTGAGTTTAAAAAAGTATCTATTTTACAACTAAGGAAGAGTTGAGAGACAAGTTCTATGCTCACAGTATGGGTCAGTGGACTTGATCACGTGTCTTGAATCAAGCTTCAAACTACTGTCCACAGAGTGGAAGAATGAGACTGGGGGTTACGCTCAAACGTAAATATATTGGCAGATTTGTGTACAACCTTTTTTTGGGGGGGAGAGGGAGATGGGGATACATTTGCCCAACCTTAGTTATATCTCTCACACAGCGTGTTATAAAGCAAGAAAATACTGACTTTTTTTGTATCACAAAATAAAAACTATTTTTAGTACATTTTTAATAATTCATAATTCATTTATTTATAAAAATAAACCCTAGTAAAATGTTTTAAGTCAAAATAGAATGTCTTCTTCCCTGAAATTGTTAATGCGTAATTTTTCTGTTTTTTTTTTCACTCTTCCTCCATCCTACTTATCTTTTCTAAGCTAGCGGTAAGAAAGATGTCAACATTTCATATGTAGAGAGGATGATTATCTGAAATAGTATCTATAGAAAAAAAAAAAATTCTTCCTTCGTTCATCATCAGTGACCAAGCACAAATATACATTTTAAAATAATCATTTGCATGTTTCAATCTGCTTGTGAAATATATTCAGATTTCATCCTTACTATCTTCATGTTTCACATAAATCATGCTAAATAGTATTTTCTGTTGACATTTCCTCTGCATCATTTATCAAATTTGTTGAAAGTACATAAAGATGTTTAAGGAAATTCAATCCAAGCCAATCAACTGGGTGTTTGTACCAGCATAACATACATAAAATATGTAGGAATTATTTTCATTTTTTATGCAAGATGATACAATAATTTTGATGCACTTTGATAATTCTAGTAGAAATTGTATCTCCCAGAATGTCAGTAATTTGTTTGTTATGGTGCAACAAGTGGAAAAGAATTATTTGATGTTAAGTCTGTTGGTATCATACAAATTAACACTGAACAAAATATTCAAGAGTGCATTGAAAGGGGTCAATTACTAGAGGTTTTTTTTATGCCTCTAACACTCTAATGTTCTAAATACATATTTGTATTTAGAATGTTAGACTTTTCCTGGATTGTCTAACCCACTTTATGAATTAAAAAGAAAAAATCACCCTTTTTCCAGTGATGTATAAGTGTCCTCTATTTTAGATAATCTAAATTGATGATCTTGGCCAATGAAATGCTTCTCCATTGGGAAACACAGAGGATTGTGCTGCGCATGTACAAAAATTATTGCACTATGTTCATAGAATTCTCTGTAAAAAATTTACAGTCATAACTTTCAGCGTCATGGCGAACGCAGTTAGATCTCCAAATAGAGAATCATTGTAATACTTGTCTATAAAGAGACCTAACTGTGTTTGCAATTGTCACGATGCTGAATGTTAGGACTACACATTTTCTACAGTCTTCAGTAGAAAGGGACTGGTACAATGCCACTAGTGACACATTGACTGGCAAATGTGAACTTTGCTATTTGTCACAAATGGTAATGCTTACAATTTTCAACATGCAAGTACAGCATTTAGGTACCAAGAACATTATATTAAGCTTAGTGGTTTTGGTGTTTGGAGTACCTCAGAGTACCTTAGAGTAACTTTAACATTTCTTATTACTTGTCCAGAGAACTTTACAAAACTTGACAATTTTAAACGAAAAGAGTGCGTGAGAGGAAAAATTGTAGAGGAAATCGAAAAATGCCCACCCTGTGGGAAATAAACCAGTTCACAAACTGAAAGATGAATACAGTCAATCCACTGCATCACTGATTTACAATACAACAGTCAGTCATTCTTAATTCACTTCTGTTCCAAGGTCCCCACAATAAAAACAAAGATTCTTTGCCACATGATTGCATCCCGCCTTTTACTTCAAAAAACTATTAGGATAAAGAGATGGTACAACCTTTCGTAAAAATGTTGTTCCCTTAAAAATAAAACAATGTTTCTCAAAGGCAAACGTGCCAAAAGAGCTGAGAGTTCTGCACCTGACAAAATGTTTCAGTTCAACTTTGACTATGTGCTGCTACATCAGCTGTGACTCGAAGTTCTTGAACTTTATATCCTGTAATATTATATGTTTTCAGTACTTGCATACAGTAGATCAACTTAGTGGTTTATATGTTAGACTCCAATTATATGCAATACCCTATTAAATTGTTTTGCCAAGTTTGTCTGTGTAATTATTGCATTTTCTACAATAATTTGTAAAATAAAATAATAAATATTTTTTTAAGTTGATAGAAAATTCTCAAACAAATAGTTTACATATTCATCTTGTTGTCTGAATATCAAATAAAGTCTATAGACAGAGTTAAACTTATTGGAGTTCCCATGAGATTTGTGGAGTGCTGGATTGTGATCAGGGCCAGATTAAGAGCCCATTGGGCCTGGGGCTGACAATTAGGATAGGCCTAATTATAGAATCGTATCAACAGAAAACACAAAAACAATCATACCTCCCAATTGTCATGTATCTGGTGGAGATGGTGCTTGAAACAACTCACACCATATCGCTTTAAGAAAACACATACTCTATGCTAATGTCTCACATTCATCTTTCAAGTAAATCCATACACCCCATAACAGCAGTATCTGGTGAAGCAAGATTTTAGTGGGCGGGGTAAAAGGGTGTTCCACTGATGTTCATCACGTAACCAAAACTGCCTAGAGGGGCAAACATACCCCAAAAAATCTGCCCGAGGAATTAGAAGGTCAGCCTGGTGAGAATACATGTCAGGACAGGCTGCCTGACAATCATGCAGGCTAGCCAACTAAAGGCATACTATGCAGACAGCACCCTGTGCTTGGCATAAATGCGTCTAATGATGCGCTCGCTTCAAGTTTTTTAAGCACTGTCACCTAGCACTCACTGGTCCTCTCCTCTCCTTACTCTTACTAGCAGGCAGAAGCTCCTTTTACATAGTCTGGGACAGAGAAAAGGTGTCTGTAGTGAAAGGGAACATGCCACAAAGTTAGACTGAAGCAGCATGAGCATTTGCATAGTATGCAAAGTCAGCTTTACCATAATTAATTTCATTGTCAACCAGTCCACACAAGTTTTGTTTCCCTACATCCACATGTGAATAGTGAAGCAATGGGCCTATTTCATGGGCATGGGCCTGGACCTGCAGCTCCATCAGCCCCTATGTTAATCCAGCCCTGATTGTGATTGGCTGGAGATACACAGAGCCAATTAAACTGAGGGAGTGGACCAACCTCCTAATTTTAAAGACATAAAATAAACACACACTTACACACAGAACCTGACCTATTCTTTTCACTGCTGACTCTTTTATTAACTTATTTAACAGTGCATAGTGCTTGCAAGAGACATTATTAAACATCTCTTCAAATGAAAGTCTTAGAACCCTTTTGTGGAAATAAAAGTGTGATGTGTCTGATCCAGCCTTGTGATAGTAAAGTGCTCCTATCTGTCCAATAACAATTTAACATAGAACCCATGTAGAGATAAACAAATAGACTTACCTCTTTAATTCAACATCTGTGCCAATAACAACTAATCTAATTTTTACCTTACATTTTTATGAGCTGTAATTGCAAAACAACATTTTTTGCCATGTGGTGAAACTAGCTTATTGAACTCAAGCCATGGGAGGGATAATTATACAGGTCCATTTTGGTAAGATTTCCATAATGAAGTTCTTTGTATTTACTCTTAGATAGATGTTTGAATATTTCTAGAATATTGTAAACATTGCATGTGACAGCGGAATTGAATCATAGGCAGAAGCTCTGGATTAATGGAAGCCCCAAACCTGGGAAATGCATGTTCTTCAGTTTGATTCTGTAAACATTATTCTTATCTACTGATATTAAGAAAATGAGAATACAAAATAAATTATTACACAACACGGGTTCTCTAATCTATTATTTTAGTTTTAGATGCTTGCAGATCCCTGGTGTGTAAGGATATCTTTATCCTTTATCTTTGAGAATGAGTTAAGGCAGCAATTTGAAATAGTATTTGAAATAATGAATATTTAGTATTTAAACAGATATATCTGGATTTGGTTATATTTCTAATTTTTAAACGTAATACATCACAGAGACATTTTAGTTGTTGAAATAAAAGATTGCAGAATTTGCAATAGCAAACTGGGCAAATATAGTTAGCAGCAATTTGGAGATCTAAATTTGGATGATAATCACTGTATCAAATATAAATTCAATTGCGCAGACAAAACTCAGAATTGAAGCAAATTAATATTTTTTAAATATTTGTGGCTCCTGCCATGTTGGTGCTTATTCAGCAGATCTTTGTGTACGGGAGAGTCTGACCCAACATGCTTTGCTACTTGTCTATGGACCATGCGCAGTCACAATGTAAACGTTTTGAAAGTACTGCTTATGACATTAACTTGCAAAGAACCACTTGTTACTTATTCCTCTCACAAATAACAATGGATAGCTGTAGCAAATGGCAGGACATAGCTTTTCTTGATGTTACGAAGAAAAAATGGCAGGACATAGCTTTTCTTGATGTTACGAAGAAAAAAACAACGTAGTTGGCTATCTCACAGTTCTCCTTGGTTCATTGCTTGTATGTTTATGCCTTACCTTCCTTTACCTCTACCGAGTGGGGTATGTCTCTCCAGAGCCTATTTGATGGAGATGTTTTCTTTCTGCACTGGTCCCAAACCTGTGATGATAAATAAAAAGACATAGACAAACACAAAGATCATTCATGAAAATAGCTGCAAATATACACATTACTTTGATTTTACCTAGAATAATGCATGTGTAAAAAGATTACAGGGACACTCTGGATCCTTGTAGCTTTATGTGTGTAGAGTGTTTCCTTTTTTTCATTTTACAAATAGGGTAGATTTTTTAAACAAATTGGCACTTTTATACATTAACCTGGTTACACCCCCCTGGTTTTCACAGACAAGAGGTCCTGTTACTTCCTGATTTGGTTAGCTCAGTGGAGCTAAACTCAAGAGACAGCAATTGCTCAGAGCACCTGCTTTGCAAAGATGCCTCATTGAGCTGCATTGAGAAGTCTCTGATTGGACAGCCACAGAATGTCTGGGCAGGGTTAGTAGGGGAAGGCTTGCAAAGGTAGCAGACAAGACATCTGCAGATTTTGTAAGTGGTTTTTATGTATACATCAAGTAAAAAATATATATAATTAAACGCATGAATGTTTTCTTTTGGGTCACATGTTCTAACAGTGACTTTATTTATTTTATCGGTGGAGTGTCCCTTATGAAGATTTTATGAAGAATATCATATTGTAAATGATAGTTCCCCTTTAAGTCAGTGGAACTCTGCAGACAAACCAAAAAAGCAAAATTGCCAATATCACTTTTTCAAATTGATAATAAACATCTCTGCAATCTTATTATCTACTTCCTCTAATAGATTATATTCAGCATTGAAAATGACTCTAAAATGCTTTTAATAATATAGTGACTGTTAAAATGAACTCGGAGATGTTCAGACTGCATTTCTCATTTCAGTAAATCCATTGATGTAAAATGTACTAATTCTGTTGATGACTATGCAGGACAATAAAAATAATCTGCTAGAGTATATTGATGGGAACAATGAACTAAATGACATCCACAGTTAATTTTAATACCCCAAGCATGTTTTGTTAAAGTGTTGCATTTATTAGTTTCAAATGTGCAATTGTCAACTTGACCTTGAAAAGTGGATGATGGAAAATTTAAAGCCACGTAATGCTGACTCAAGTAAATCCCATTGCTTCAAACTTGCATTGATATTAAATGCTTTCAATTAAAATTTACTAGGGAGGAGCCAGAGAGGATTTTTTCTACTTTAGGTAAATCTTACAAATTCAAAACCTGTAACATATCTAGTGTGTAGAAAGACAGCCATTAACCCTGAGGCTGGATTAACCCTGCAATGTAAACATAGCAATTTCTCTGAAACTGCTATGTTTACATCTGAATGGTTAAAACTAGAGGGACCTGGCACCCAGACCACTTCATTCTTCTAGCAATTGTTTTCTTTATTGGCAATTCCAAATCAGACATCTGGTAAATGCATTGATGTTAAAGGGACACTATAGGCACCCAGAACACTTTAGCTCATTGAGGTGGTCTGGATGCATTGTTCCTATTGCATTTAGTGCTGCAATGTAAAACTTTGCAGTTCCAGAGAAACTTCAATGTTTGCATTACAGCTCTAAGTCTGACTCTATTAGACAGCCACTAGAGGCTCTTCCAGGATCCTAATGGACTTGTGGTCCAGTAACTGACACTGGACGGCCTCTCGCTCTACATGAGGACATCCAGTGTCAGTTATTTCCTCACAGGAGGGCATTAATTCAATGCTTTCCTATGCGGAGGCTGTGACAAGCTCCCCTTTCCAAGTGAGTTTGCCACAAGTTCCTGGAGGAGCCTGCTTGCCAGCCTCCTGCCCACAGACTATGAACCCTGTAAAATGTGATGTAAAAGTCTCCGCTCGTGTATTTGGACTATATGGTTCGGGAACCGAAGAGCCGCATGAACCGGAGACCACCCTGGAACTTGTTAAGCCTAATTGCTACTTTGTAGCAATTTCCACCGCAGTGTTCTAAGTGTTCGGTAGTTTGTTCAGTTTTTAAACTGGCCCGACCGCAAGTCCTGATTCTCTGGAACTGTGGGCATGGGGCCATGCGTTTGGTCGGTCAAATTATGACTTCCAGGAAATTCCTGAATCCATTTTTGGATATGTTGGTAACCCAGATTAGGGCTATCAGGGGATATAACTTTTGTGGGGTTTTATATATTTTTAAGGTACTTTTGGGGTGTTTGGGAAAAGTGTGTTTTTTGTACCTGGAAATAATTTAGTTTAATACAGTACTTGACTCAATTATCTCCCAGGCACAGAGGAGGGATTATCTTGTCCTAGATCTGAGAGCCAATGTAATTGTGTATTTGTTTCTACTGTGGTTTACTCTCAGGTCTAGGGGGGAGTGCCCCTTGCATGGGGACCTGCATATTAGGCCAGTTG